ATCCTAGGTCTCTGCCACAGCCACACGAAGAACCCCAGGCCCAGCAGAGTCTGATGTGCAACAGCCAAGGTGGGGGTGGGGGGCTGTGCCCTTCTGGAGGCTGCTGGGGGTAAAAATTATCCATGAGCAGTGTGAGACCAGCTCGAGGCAAGGTCTGGAACTGGGCCACCTGAGAGCATGGGCAAAGATGAATCAAGATGGGATGGGGAGGGTATGGGGGAAGGAAGGCTGAAGCTGCAGGAAGGAGGGTAGCCTGGCCCAGGGGCAGGGGTCCCACCTGCGCATGCCCAATGGGTACAGTGCTCTCAAAGATGGTCCAGAGAACCCTGGGTGCACAGCCTGGCGTGGTCAGCGACCCTGAGTAGGGACAGTAGCACAAGAGCCCAGAGGAGCCAGACAGCAGAGAAGCCAGCAGAAAGGTGGATGTCAGATCCACGAAGACCCCTGGGGTGGGGAGGAGATAAGAACTCACATCCCTGTGCCCTGCTGCCCTTCGTCCCCTGAAACCCCCAGCTTAGAAGCGACCCCCACTGCTCCTCACCAGGTGAAGAAGTATTCTTTGGGACTGACACAATAGCAGAGAAGTTGGAATTGTCTTGGCCCTGCTCCTGGGGAGTTCAATTCCAGGGAGAGGGACTCTAGAGTTGGGAGTCTCCAACAGTGGGACTCTGAGAGTAGGGGCCAGAGTCTAGTGGGAAGCTCCCAGGAGTGATAGGGATCTGGCAGATGGTTTGGGGGAGGATCACCCCCACTGACCCCCAAGATCCACCACTTCCCAAAGGCTCCATCCTCCCAGAGAATCCTTTAAATCCTACAGGAGCCCAAACCATGCCTCACTACCCTATAGATTCCAAAGGCCCACCCACCCCCTCCACACAGCACGAGAGCCCTTTCTGGAAGGCACAGGGATCACACAGCCCCTCTCTCACCGCCAACAGCACAGCCAGCACTGTGAGCCCATCAGGGTGATATTGTGCCCCCCCCATGCTCTGGTACTTTGTGCTCATGTGGACCACATACATCTGGGGAGGTACAGATGTTCGGAGTTACCTGCGGCCCCATCCCCCCACACTCCCTCATCTTTGTGGTGGACCCTCCCACACCTATCTCCATGGAGCTTTGCTGCCCATCCAGGCTGTGCTCCGAGCCTGTGCGTCCCGGGCTCCCCCAGTGGAAGTGCAGCTGCAGTGCTCGGTAGGCAGGTGATGGCAGCCCAGCCCCCTGGATTTCCAGGCAGCTCTGTGGACCAGCATCCACATGGAGTAGCACTGAGGGTGAGGGGACACATGACAGTCCCCCTCCCCTACTGATCCACCACATCCAGCATGGCAGGGAGAGGGCAGCCCTCTACTCTCCAGGCACCCTAATCCTGGGGCACCCTGACTTCTGGGTCTGTTTTGATTTTTTGTCCTTCCTCAGGGAACATAGCTGGTTACTGTCTGTAAGGAGGGTCCTGACTCCTATGGGTCGCATCTTGGCCACTGTGTGTGTAGGTTCTTCTGCTTTGTTTGTGAGGATTCTGACTCCTATTAAGGGGTGGGGGACCTCCCATTCTTGTATATAGCTTCTTGGCCCATGTGTGGGTGTTGTTTTTGTTTTTATAGTGCTGGGATGGAACGCAGGGCCTCACATATTCTCAGCAAGCACTCTAGCACTGAGCTACAGCCCCAGCCCTGTCGGCAACTCTTGACCTCTGTATGGTATTTCAGCTCCTGTGTGTGTGAGTCCTGATGCCCATATGCCTATAGGAGTTCTCATCCCCTGTGTGGGGTTCCTGCCCCTGTCTGTGGGGAGTCCTGACCCTAGGGTGCTGACCTGTATGGCCATAATTCTTGAGGTCCATGGGCCTAGAGGGGCTGAGTCATAGCCTTGAAAGATGAAGGGCCCAAGAGTGGAGTCCAGCTGGACCAGGTGGAGGGCGATGTTGATGGGAGACTGGGTTGGGCCCCACAGGCAGGTGCTAGCTCCTTTCAGTGAGTGGGCCCTGAGGGAACAAGGTCTGGGATCTCTGAGGAGGGGGTCAAGAAAGCAGCCTAGGGCTAGAGGACTCCACACACTCAAGAGAATAGCCTAGCCTCAGGAAACTACTCCATGCTCCCTCCACACAACAGGACAGGACACAGCCTTGCTCCCCTGCCCCCAGCACCTGACTTAGCCACCAAGTCTGAGGACAGGCTTCCCCATAGACAGACAAGGTAGATCTCTCTGGCCCAGGATCAAAGACCCACACTGGAGACCTCTACCACATGCATGCACTAACAGGCCCACAGACCCACAGACCCAGCTAGGAGCAGGACTGGGGACCCCAGCAGACCTGAACACAGATACAGAGGGACATTCATACCCATGCTGCCTGGTGCTCAGTCACTTGGGCACAAGAACTCAGGAGCCTGCAGAGACCACCAAGGAGCAGTGTGCGGTCTGCCTCTTGGCCATATTTGCACCATTCTAGTGGCTCCCGAACACAGGCCAATCCCATACAGCCTTGTTTGACACCGTGTCCTCACCACACATTGGGTCCTGGGAGTCATAGCACCAGCTGCCAGAAGATAGTGGGCAGGGGACTGAGCTGAGAGACCAGCCCTCTCCAAGTCCCCATCCCAGCCAGCATCCTGGAATGGGGAGCATGGCTTAGGTCAGGAGAGACCAGTGTAGAGCCTGTTCACCTGTCACCCCAACCACAGTATCTCCTCCTTCCAGGCTCCCACCTCCACAGTGGTAGGACCAAAGAGGTGAGAGAAATTGAAAAGTAGGGGAATTGGGTCGATTCAAGAACAGAAAGGCAGAGTGCTGGGCTGGGGATTTAGCTTAGTGGTTCCAGCACCTGCCTTACAAGTGCAAGGTCCGAGTTCGATTCCCGGTAAACCCCCCCCCTCAAAAGAAAGCCAGAGTCCTAGTGCTTACCCTCTGAGTCCACCTGCACCACCAGTTGCACTGTTAAGAGGAGTGGGCAGTCCAGGGGCCTCATGGCACAGCGGCCCAACTCTGGAGAACTAGGAAGTGGCTCAAGATCTAGGAGCGAGATTGCTGACAAGGCAGCTACATATTTATTAGTAGGGTGGGCCAGAGCTGTGACTAAACTCTCCAGCCTCTTGGACCAGGTCACCGCTGAGGGGCCTAGAGGGGGCAGTGCCTAGGGAGGGAGGGCTCCCAACTCACCAGTCCCCGCCCTTATCCCCCAGGGCTACCAGCACGATCTCTGGCAGAAATCCTGAGGGTGGCAGGTGTGTCCTAGTATTTATTATTCCCATTTACAGTCAGTCCATCACTGCCGCCGCCCCCCACCCCCAACCAGGATCAAACTCAGGACCTTGCCCTTGAGAAGCAGGCGCACTGACACAGCTAAATTCCTGGCCAAGGATGTTAGTTGTTTTTTTGTGGGGTTTTTTGGTACCAGGGATCAAACTCAGGTCCTTTCGCTTGCAAGGCAAGCGGCGGAACCACTGAGCTAAATCCCTGGTCCTTTTTGTTTTGTTTTTTCCCCCCAAGGATGTTAGTTTTAAGGGTAAAAACACCTTGGATCTCAGCTCCTCTGACTCGTGGGGCAGGACTGAAGGGCGTTCGAGGACATCTTTTGGGCCACTGCGGGTGTGGGATTCCCCTTCCTGACCCCAGAACACAGCCACTTTTCTACTGACATTCCTCTTTCCACGGACCACCCTACCAAAGTTCTGGGGATGTTGCTGCCTTTCCCCTCCGCCGCACCCAGCTCCGGTGGGAATTCAGGCTAATCCAATAGCTTCTGGGAAGCAGGCTCTGATTCCTCCTTTTCAGCGGGGCAGGAGAGATGATGCCGGTAAGGAGCTCAGCGGCCGGGCGCACAGCAGGTGGGTTCACTGTGCCTCTTGCCAGTCGCCCCAGGCTCTTGCCGTGGGGGGAGCTGTCCACGGTGCTAACGGACACTCAGGCGCCCAGAGGCTGGGTTAGGAAGTTTGGCTAGACTTCTTTCGGGCGCCGTCACCAGGGTGCCCTCGAGTCCCTTCAAAACAAGTTGGGAGTTTATTGTTTAGACAACTGTAGAACAGAAGGGGCAATAGTGCTTGGAGTCCTGGAGCCGACCCCTGGTTCCCACAGATGGTCCAACTCAAATCACCCTCCCACATCTCACTGCTTTCAAGGACTCAATTCGGCTACCACTCCTCGCCACCCTCACCCTTGCACTCGCGGAGTTCCCTCCACCCATGCAGGCTGGAGCGCTTCAGGATCCCACTCCTTCACTGTTGGGGGCGGAGTTGCTTTCTTGTCAAGACCCAGAGGGGTGCCCAGCCCAAGCCCACCAACCCTGCTCCAGTACTTAGGCCCTCAGGATGCACTTGAAAAGGTACCCAGGTTGCCAGCCCATTTTACAGGTAATAGTCCCCCAGAGAGGGCCTGAGCCCCCTTCACACCCAACACACACTCAGGAGGTAGGGGTTAAGTCCCAGCCCAGCCCTTTCTGGGTAAGGTATCGAGTAGCCTACTCCTCATTCCCTAGCTGGACTTCAGGACAGATCTCAAGAGGCCTGAGGGGCCCGGGATGCTTTACTTTTTACATTTTTTTTGGTACCTGGGATCGAACTCAGGACCTTGCACTTGCAAGGCAGGCAACAGCGCCACTGAGCTAAATTCCCGGTGGGCCAGGGCTCCTTTAGAAAACCAGGTGGACTTCTGGGTGTGTCTGCTTATATATACAGCTACCTGCATGGTCAGGGGAGAAAGGACCGAAGTTCCAGGCCCTCCTTTGTGCCCACCCCAGCTCTCCATGACTAGGGCGGCAGCTCTGCTGCCTATGTGGCCTCCATACAAGTCACCAGCACTCTCCAGGGCAGCAGCTGATGCCCAGAGATGCCAGCCCCTCACTGCACAGCTCAGCTCCCTCTGGTCCTCTGCCAAGGAGCACTGGGGCCTGGGAACTGCCCCCCGTAAGGGCTGTGCTGCAGGAAGGCAGGTGCCTCAGCCATTCTCATCCAAACCTGTGGCAGCTACAGGGGTTGGGCTACACCAAGAACTGACCATGCCTCTTCTAGAACACAAATTTATTTGGCATTTGGATGAAATGGTTCTCACAGCATCTTAAGAAATGGATTAGTGTTAATCCGACAAAAAACATACCCAAACTAAAACCCTTAGTGAAAGGAAAAGTAAAAACAGGCATTGAGACAATGTACAGTATCAAATTCCATCTCCACAAGGCAGGTCAGACGGCACCTGGTTTCAGAACAGTATCAAGGTAGTCCTGGGGGAGGGGGTCCTGCCCAGGAGCTTGGACTGTTCTTTTGGGTCCTATTTGTGGGGTGAGTGGGGTTATGTCTCTCACAGGAACACAGCTCAGCAAAGGCCAGCCTTGAGATTCTTCATCGGACCTCAGAGAACAATCAGATCTCGAGGTGGTGGCGGAGAACAGGTGAGAACAGATGGGCAGACCCCAGCTCTCCTTGCTTCCCTCACAACTGACCCCAGCAGAGCACAGCTCCTGGAGCCAGTGGTCTGAGCAGCCCTGTACACAGGCTTTCTGTCAGCCTCAGGATGGCAGTGGGCTAAGCATCCGATGTTTCCCCAACAGAAAAGAGCCACTGGCAACCCTGAGAGCGCCCTTGCCAGTCCTGAAGCAAGCACACCTCTGCAGTCCCCACAGCCCACTTTGGGTCACTCTCTTCCTCACTGCATCCCCTACCTGCCTTCCTGGCCCCAACAGTCCTTCAGTCCTCAGAGCAAGCTTCTCAGCCCCTCACACACTGTGCCAGCTGCCCTGCCCTGTATACTTCTGAGGCCTGGAAGGGCCCCTCAGTTACTGGAGGTAGGGGCTTTGCTGGAGTGGTCCTCAGGACTCTCATGGGTCTCCCAGAACCAGCATATAGAGGCCTGCTTGTCCTCTGGTGGGCATGAGGCCCTCGTGGCCATAATGTCATTCTAAGCAGCAGCCCTTTGGCAAGGGAAGCACAGACTGTAGCATCTGGTTCCTGTGGGCTAAGCCCAGGGATAGGTTGTTCAATGACAAAAACATACCTCCAGTCAACTCTGGGTCATAGCCCATGTCTGAGCAACTCGAGATCCCCCTTTTAAAAGTGCCTACAATTGGGCTGAGCTCCACAAAACCAAATGTATCAATCACTTCTGCCCACTGATGTTCCTTAGTGGCATAAGGCCCTCACATTCAAGGTCCATGGGTTAAGGGCAGGGTCTTAGGCACAGCTCCACCACAGGACAGCCCAAGACGATTATGTCAGACCCGGGGCAGCAGGGCCCTGCCCTACCCCGAATTCCTATGAACCACTGCCTGCAAACATTTGGCCATATACAGACACATACAGACACACACACAGAGAAAAGATCCAGACATTCAACGTAGAAAAGATATGGATGTGCTAAAAATCGCACAGAACCCGCTTAATCTCCAAACCTCAGAAATAGTAAAGGCCTGTGTCAGGAGACAAGACCACTGTCCTGATCAGGCCCCTGGGACCCTCAAGCAAAAGGCCCCCAAGCACCCAGCGCTGCTGAGGGAGGGAGGCGTGCATGCAGCCACCAAGTACTGGGCTCTAGTGGTGGCAGTGGTGCAAGAAGTGGACTTTTCAGGAGATGGACACAGCCTTGGATGTTAGGTTCCCTGAAGGAAACAACCCTTTATGACACAAAGGTAGGGTGGGGGCAGACCAGACCCAGGGGCCATTCAACAGGAAGGGGGGCCCAAGAGGTGGAGAAAGGTACCAGTTTAGTCCCACACCCTCAATGGAGGTCCAGAGCCTACTCCTGGGGGAGCCATGCACAACAATGTTTGGAAGAGATGGGAGGGATGGAGTTCAACCCCCTCAGGGCCTCGGACTTCAATGTTCACAGCTGGACCTGGAGGGGCCACTCCCAGAACAGCCAATGCAGCAGCCTCCAAGGCTGTGTCCCTGGAAGGAGGCCCACTCCCTCAACAATACTGACTGTTCAGATGGCCCCATCCCTACTCCCAGAGCCTTCTGTTCCCATAGTGCCTACTGTTCCTTCTTCCTGAAATGTGTGGTGTGGACACACACCATCATTCTTTTGCCATTAAAAAAGAGACACTGACCCAAAGCTATGCATATCTGTGAAGCCCTCAAGGAAACTTGGTGCGGGTGGTTGCCCCTTGGAGAGAGGCAGCTGGGGTCTCTCTATATACACGCACACCACCTGGTGGGTATGCGGCAGTGGATCAGGGTCCAGGCTGTGCCAGGACCCCTTCAAGTGTCCCACGGGGACTGGTGTCTTCTCGACAGCAAACAGGTACTTCCAGCCTATTGGAGCCATGTGCTGGGATGTCTATACCACAGTATTTAGGGAGCCGCGGCTAGGGCGGCCACCTCCTGGTGGTGCTTCTGCAGCTGGGGTGCTCCTGCTCTGGGTGGGGTCAGGAGGTACGAGCAGGGCACTGCTGCTGTCTGCAGAGTCTTCCAGGTCTGCCAGGGAGGCCCCCGCAGGGGGCAGAGGCTGTTCCAGGCACTGAGGCAATGCACCTTCACTGCTACCATCCCCTGGGGTCGGTGGGGTAGCCTCTGCAGGATCAAAGGCATCATCATCTGCAGGAGAAAGGGGTGTCAGATGTAAGTGAGGGCCAGGCACAGGGAATGCAGCAGGGCCGGGCACACTGGGGACACTTCTGTCTGAACACTCCTGCCCCTGGTGTGTGCTGAGCATGCCCTTGGACCTCAGATTCTGGAGGAGAGCCCTCCCCATGTGGGCTTTGCTATGCACACCACTTCCTGTGGCCTGCTAATCTCCAGGTTTGCATCTGGTATGTGCAAGATGAGGGCAGTCTGAATAAAGCAGACATGGGTCTGTCTAGCCACTACAGGGTGGTAAGGTGAGATGCAATGACAGAGTCACCAGAACAAAGAGAGGCTAAAGGGAAATCACTTGAGACTCAGCAAGAAGATAGCAGCATGTGATGCCAAGGAGTTACTGGGCCCTGGTGGATGGAAAGACATTCAGGGCTGCACAGGAAACATGGGCAGAGCACAGGAGACTGGGTTGTAGCAGGCAGCATGGGTGTGTGAAGAATGCTCTGAGAAGCCTAGAAGAGGCAGCTGCTTCCTTCATCCAGCGGGCTTATTACATGGGGCATCTTCTGCAAGGTGGCAAGAGCCCTCAGCAATGTCCCCCTCCCCTGACCAAGTTGTCACAGCCTCCCTGTCGTGCAGCCTGGGCCTGCAACAACCCTTGCAAGAAGCGTGTCCTACCTTGGTCCATCTGTGACAGGGCTCACATCAACTCTACTGCACCCTAAACCATACAGCAGGGCCAGGCTCAGTATACCCAGTCTGCTGAATGTGAACCTGTAAGAAGCTGGCTGCCTTAGGGTGGGCACTGCCCACAAGGCTACTGCAAAGGTGTGTCAGAGGGTATAAGGCACAGGAAAATGGGATGGGACACCTGTACTGCATACCTGGGACAGGGACTTGCAGTAGGGTGGGAAGACCTGATACTCCTTCTTAGCTGCAGTCCTGGGAGGAGCAACTTCCAGGGTCTGATGGGATGGGGCTCCAGCAACTGGTCCACAACACAAGAACCAGTGCTTTCTTCCTTCCACCCAGAGCTGCTTCCTGTCACGTCATGACACCGTTTCTCAACCCACCACTTGTGCACGTGTGTCTTTATAGGCAAGTGACTGGCTCCTGAGTCTGGGTCATGGTGTCCCAAAACCACCAATGACTGGTTTCCCATCCTTTCACAAAGACAAATTGACAGGGCCCCAAGGGCTGCTCAGGAAGGGAGGGAGAAAGGGATATAGGAGGAAGAGGATCTCAGACCTCCCCAGGGATCTTGGTGCGAACATGGACGAAGGAAGCAATCAGGATAGGTGACCAAGCCTTTCTGTAAGGGCAATCCTGGGAAGAACGTAAAGCAAAAGCCAAAGAGAAGGGCAGAAAGAAGTAGGGGCCCCTCAGGCCGGGGATTTAGCTTAGTGGCGCCGTGCCTGCCTTGCAAGTGCAAGGTCCTGAGTTCAATCCTTGTACCAAAAAAAAAAAAAAAAGAGGACCCAAGCCTCCCAACCTGGGGAAGACCTGTGCTCTGATGACTCCATGTTCCCTTTCCCTGGGGTAGGCAGGCACCTGCAGGATCGTAGAACACACTGTCCGGGTTGATGGAGGCCTCATAGGGTGGTGGTGGGTCATCGGGCTGGTCGATATCTGGGTACTTGTAAGCTGTGTAGGGAGGCGGAGGGTCGTGGAAGTGGAAAGTCCCACCTTCCCCATCATCAGAAAGATGCAGTGGAGTGAGGCCTGTGCCGAACCTGTCTGGGCCATAGTCAAAGCCAGGGATTCTCCGGCCAAGGTTGAAGTGGTGCACTGGGCCGTCGAAAGTGAGAAACATAAGCACAGCCATGTCACTTGAAGGCAGCCTGGCTTTTGACCCCTGCTCCTGAAGTTGAGCCTGCCATCTCAAGGGTCACACACCTATAGCAGGCTGCCCACTGTTGGCCACATGCAGCAAGTGACACAAGAACTCTGACTAAGCTTGAATCTCTCACCCCCAGGTCCCTCTACCAGTGTCCCAACCTGATCCCATTGGCAACCTGTCCTGCCACTTGTACTGCCACTCTCCAGCTCTAATGTGGTTCTGTGTGTCTAACCCAGAAGGACCTTCAGGTTCTGCCCACTCTGGAGCTCAGTGAGCATTAAGGACAGTCAGGGGGAACACTTCCATTCATGGACAGAAAACCAGTGCCCTAGTCATGTCAGGCCTTCAAACCCAACCTTGTTGTCCTGGGAGCACCAGGGGCCCCTTATAGCAACTGGAAAGATTCCCCTCTCACTGCTACCACCTGCCCCTCCCTCCCACATGGGGACAGGCCTTCTAGCTGAGCTTGGTGCATTACTGATAAACTCAGGCTAAGGAGGGTAGGACATACTAAGCTGCCTAATGGCCATGATATCTGGGGCTCCTACTCTGGCAGGCCCATACTCACAGCTCAGGTCATCAAAAAGGTGATATCACTACCTGAATGAACAGTGCTGCCCTTAGAGGTGGGATGTTTGGAGGGTGGAAGACCTAACTTCAGGCTCTGGACAGCTCCTCTTCTTCCCCAGGCATGGGCTCAGCCTGGGAGCAGGTGTGTGGCTGGAGGGGCTGCTACTGCTCCCCCACATTTGGGAGAGAGCCCAATCCCTCCTCATCCCTAATTCTCACATAGGAACTGCTGGCACCTCACCTTACATTAGACTTTACCTTGAAGGGACACAACCGAGGACAGAGGAGAGAGATCTAGCGATCTGGGACAGGTGGGCACTGTGCCCCTCAGTGGGCACTTACAGTTTGCTCCAATCAGGGACTCGATGCGCTCCCGGCGTCTCTGGCGCAGACGGTGAACCATGAAAAGCAGCAGTGAGAGGATGAGGAAGGAAGAGATGCAGCTGACCACCAAGCGCATACCACTGGCCATAGAGTCAAACAGGTTGTTGCCATCTGTGAGGTGAGGAGAAAGGAAAGCCACTACTCAGAAAAGGAGCTTGTAAGGCAGGGGTGCAGCTCAGTGGTGGAGCACCTGCCAAGCATGAGTGAGGCCCTGGATTCCATTCCCAGTCAGAGGGGTGCTGCACTAGAGGACACCACTGTACTTAAGACAGAAGGCAAAATAAAACCACTCAAAATCAAGAAAGGGAGCATGGTTGTTCAGGAGGGCACTTCCAAATGACAGTCCATTGCGGGGTACCCTCCCCCTGCTCTGGGACGGTGCTGCCTCAAGCTGGCTCATGCTTACTGGGTAACAAGCACCCATTTGGGGAGCTTTTCTTTGAGACACTTTTCTTTGAGGAGCTGCAGGCCTTGATGGCTGCTGTGTGGAACTCCATTCAACTGTCACTGTCCAAGAAGTGGCAACTTCTGTCTCAGGACTAGCATTCTAGAAGGCTGAGCATGAGCAGCTCTGTGTGCCCAGGTGTAAGGCTGCACACAAGGTCATTGCCTTTGGCTGTGCTCAATAGGACACAATGTTGCCATCCTTGCCTACCTGACCTTATACATGTGTAAGAGTCAGGCAGGACCTAAAGTAAAATTCATAACCCAAATGTGAGTGGGTGGGCTCCCAGACCCCTCAAACCATTCTTGCAGGCCTAGCTTGCTCCATACTAACACAGAAGGCTAGCACTTGCTCTTGCCCTCTTTACAGGGGTTCAGAAAGCATCTCCAAAAGCTCTATTTGCTGGTGACACTTGTGCTATGGACATGTGAAAAAGACACATCCTTTCCCCAGTGAGCTGTTTTGCTGGATGTTTTTCAGATACCCATCCAAAAACATTTCATCCCTGTCAGTGGGAGGACATCCATTAGCCCAAGGAGCTGGTGACACCATCTGCTTATTGACAGCCAGCTCAGAATTCCCTGGGAACCACCTATGGAAGTAGCCCTCTGAAATGACTAAATCCTAATCAGTTCCAAAATAAACCCAAGGACATGGTCAAGGTCCCAGACCTGCCCTCCATGATGCAGACCTTGTGCTTCTGAGGCAGGCACGGCGCCACTGAGCTAAATCCCCAACCCAGTACCACACTGTTTTTTTGTTTTTGTTTTTTGGGTACTGGGGATCAAACTCGGGACCTTGTACTTGCAAGGCAGGTGGCAGAACACTGAGCTAAATCCCCGGCCTACCACATTGTTTTGATGGCTATAAGTTATAAATCAGGTATTGTGAATCCTCCAACTTTGTAAAAACTGTTTTAGCTATTCTAATTTTTTCCTTTTCCACATAAATTTTAGAATCAAAAAAAGTCTGCTGGAATACTGGTTGGGACTGTATTGCATCTATAGATAATTTGGGGAGAATTAATCTACTAATGATTAACTAATGAGTCTTCTGATATTGTTTCTATTCATGAGCATGGGTATAGCTTTCCTTTTACTTAAGCCTTTGATTTCTTTTCTCAGTGTTTTATGTTTAGAGCACACAGAATGCAGATTTTATAATTTACAACAAAGTATGTCATGTTTTTTAGTGCTATTAGAAATGATAGTTTTGCCAGGTGAGGTGGTGCACATCTGCAGTCCCAGCACTTGGGAGGCTGAGGCAAGAGGATTGCCATGAGTTTAAGGTCAGTCTGGGCTACATAGTGAGCTCAAGGCCAACTTGAACTACACAGTAAGACCCTGTCTCAAAACTAAACAAAACAAAACAAAAATGGTAGTTTTCTTTAAAATTTCAATTTTCAATGGTTACAGGCAGTATATATTAATACAATGGGTTTCAGTATTGTGACCATATCTGAAGACCTTACTAAACATACTTATTTGTTCTGATAATTTTCCTGTGGATTCTCTCTCTCTCTCTCTCTCTCTCTCTCTCTCTCTCTCTCTCTCTCTTTCTCTTTCACAATTTTTTTTTTTGGTACTGGACTCAGGACTTTGTGTCTGCCAGGTAGGTGCCATGCCACTGAGCTGCATCCCCAGCCCAAATGGATGCATCACACTCTTTTTTTTTTTTTTGAGATAGGGTCTCACTGTGCAGTTCAGGCTAGCCTTGAATTCACTATGTAGCCCAGGTTGCCCTCAAATTTACGGCGATTCTCCTGCCTCAGCCTCCCAAGTGCTGGGATTTAAGGCGTGCACCACCAGCCTGGCCTGTCTGGCCATCTTTATAAGGCCCAGACAGACTTGCAGGATAACACTGAGAGACTCCTATGGAACCAGGAGTCCAGATGACATGGCCTGCAATAAAAAATAAGAACTCGACCCCAAGGTAACTTAGCTGGAGATGTGGAGTCATTTGTCTAGGGGCACAAGAACTTGCTAAGTACTCAGTCAGTGCTTCTTATGATCTGGTAGGGATAAACTTTTTCCAAGTAGAAAACTGCTTTTCTGTGAGACAGTGATCAGTACCGTCTTCACTGATGTCAAGGTCCCTGTTACCTGGTGGTTGGCTGTAATCATGACCTCTGCAAATACTATAGTCAGCTGCACACATCTGATGGCACATGTGACATGTGTCAGAGTGCCCAATTTTGCCCAGCATCAGACACAGCCTCTGAAGGATGGCTCTACTCTCCCACCTAGCAGCCTCCTGGTGTGAGGAACCCTGACGACACTCCACTCAGGGACAGCTCTGTGTTGTGGCCTCACACTCCAGCAGAGATAGCCCTCCAAGCTTGCTATTCTGCAGGGTCCATATACCCAAGAGCTCCCACAAATCTCTACTTTGTGGCATCCAAGAAACAACTATACTTCTCATGAGACCTGAACTCAACAAGGAGTTGTGGCAGCACTTGTGTATGGTAATGAATCATTCCGTGCAGTGTTCAATGTGTCCTAATGAGCCTAGGGAGCAGGACACCTTGGGCTGCTCTCTTGTGGTAAGTAGAAGGTCATTTCAAACTAGACTATATCTGCCTTAAAGCACCACCTAATGGTGAGGAGTTTCACCTTAAAACTGAGGGTAATATTTACTCTTTCTTTTAAAGATTCTACCAGTAAAAACTGATGACGGTAAGCAAGGGCCTGCTGTAATAGAAAGAAGAAGAGCTCAAATGTTTACACATATTAGAAGTCTAGCTCTAGTCTTAAAAAGAAAGGAGAAAGGTTTGAAGGTGCCAAGTCCAGCTAATTTGTAAACAATGAGCCACGCTCAAATTCAAGTTCATTTGTGAATATCTGTTACTTGAGAGAAGGGAATGAGGCAATGTGAAGGGTGGCAGTTACAGGGGTCAGGATGCATAAGACACACTAGGTAGAAAAGTCAGCCATCCAAGTTTCTATGACAGCTCTGTGAACAAACACGGTCACCACTGCTGCACCACATGTTATGAGATCCAAATCCCCACAACTGAGGAAGCAAAAGGACATCTGGGCGGGGAATGGTGGCTTATAATCTTGTAATGCCTATAATCCCAGGTATTCAAGAGGCTGAGGCAGGAGGATGGCAAGTTCAGCCAGTTCAAATATGCAATACCCAGAATCAAAATAAAAAGGATGTAGCTCAGCACGGGAGGGCTTGCTGAGCATGCAATAGGCCCTGGGTTCAATCCCCAGTACCACATACACACAGGACACATCTAGCTTCTGATGTGAAAGGGAAACACTGCTCACCGTCCACTATCAAGAGTCTCACCTGGGTCCAGACACATGAATTTGCAGCACTCCTTAGGCTCCTTTCGGTACTGTTGACAGCCCTGGGGACCTTCGCAGAGGGCGGCCACACACATCTCAGGCTCTCCTCCATGGCAGGTGCAGCTCAAACATGGATCATCCCCTTTAGGGGTGAAGTAGAAGCCTTCATCCACCACATTGTCCTTGATGTCAACACACGTTTGACCTGCAACGAGCACATATGTGCACAGATGTATACATCCCCAGGAAAGGGAACCCTGGAACATGCCACTGGGCCTTAGGGACTAGAGCATGTAAAAAGTTGGGCAGATTATGTCTAGAGTCTTCCTTACGCTGCACACTGTGAATCCCCACAGCATAGGGGTGGCTGCCTAACAGCACTGGTGGTCTAAGAGGTATGTCTACAATACTGTTACAACAAACCATAGCCAGCCAGGGTAAATAGTTCATGGAACTCGGACAGCCAAAACAAAGAAGAATCCCAGACTCCAAGGTGAAGGTCCCTACAGAAGCTTTTGCTTTTAATTTAATTCCAAGATGCAGTACGGCACATGCCTGTAAGCACAGGACTCTAGGGGACTAAGGCAGGAAGTTTACAAATTCAAACCCAGCCTGGGCAACTCAGTGACTCAGCAAGATCCTATTTCAGAATAATAAGAAAAAAAAACAAGGGGCTGGGATGTAGCTCAATGCAAAGGCCCTAGGTTCAATCCTCAGTACCAGAAAAAAAAAAAAAGAAAAATGCAGCTTCTGCAGACATTAACTATTTTAAAATCAGAATGGGTCTCAAATGAGTCTCCAAAGAAGCTACTGGTTATACTTGAGATGGTTGGCTGGACCTGAGACATATGTGGAAAACTATGTGCAGGGCTAACCTAGGGCTACAGGAGGGCAAAGAACTATAGCAAGACTTTCATACTGGCAGAAAGACCTAACAGAGGCCCTGAGGAAGCAGGGAGGGGATGAGAGATTAGACAGGACACACCTTCAGTGAAAGGCAAAGGGGCATAAGAAGGACGTTTGTCCTGTCTCCAAATGGGGTGAGGATGTCTAGAAAAAGACTTCAGAATTTTCACAACAGGTCAGTGCCTCAGTTAAGACGGGTTAAATGTACAACCCTCACGTGGTCAGGGGCACTAGGAGAAGAAACATAAAATTATTCTCAGCTGAAACAGAAAGAAGAAAAACAAATGAAAAGCCCTCAGAGAAATGTAGAACCCCATTAAGCATGCCAACATATGTGAAATGGGAGTAATAAGAAGAGGGAGGGGAGGTAGACAGGGAGGGAGAGAGAAGCAAAAAAAACCCAAAACAAAACAAAACTGAAGAATGGCTGAAAACTACCCTAATTAATTAAAAACAAAAACCTATACATCTCAGAAGTATAATAAACTCCAAGTAAGATAAATGCAAAAGGCCTACAATCTGACACACAGTAAAAATGCTACAAGTCTAATAAAACAAGGTGAAAATCTTAAAAGGACCAAACAGAAAATGACTTGTTACTGATAAAGGACTCCAATAAGATGAACAACTGACTTAGCAGAAACAACAGAGGCCAGTAGATAATATATTCAAAAGGCTCAAAGGAAACATCTGTGATGGCACAGCTTGAAAGCAAATCAAATTTCCAAAACACACACACACATACACACACACACGCGCGCGCGCGCGCGCACAGAATTTGTTGCTTGCAGACCTGCTTCTCAAGAAATAACACAAGCAGTTCTAGTTCTTTTGGGTAAAAGCAAGTGACCCCTAGATAATAATTTGAATCCACATACAAAAAAAGACAAAGAGGGGCCAGGGATTTAGCTCAGTGGTTCCGGTGCCTGCCTCGCAAGTACAAGGTCCTGAGTTCGATCCTCAGTACCAAAAAAAAAAAAAACCACATGAAAAAATCTGTACATCTAGCTTTCCCCCACCAGGGGGCTCCTTGGCTGGTAGTAGCACACAGCTGCAAACCACGGCAAGTCTTTTGCTTTACTGATCAAAGAGGGCTAGGCAAGAAAAAGGCTCGAATTAAGACACCTCATCCTCTCTAAAACAATACTGGGATAAAAACAAATCCACATACGCATGCACAGACTAAAACTTTGCTTGCATGTTGACAGCTATTTCCTGAGCCCAGGCTGCACCCCAATTCTGGCTAGCTTCCAGACAGTTCTCTTAGGTGACTGGATTTGAAATCCGGATCACTCAAGCCAGACTAAATCAGACCATTAGTCACTTCTTGCTGCCAACAGGATAAAAATTTCAAGAGGGTCAGTGTGGACCTGAAAACTGGCATACAGTGGCTTGCTGACTTGCCTGGTTAAAAACAAAACAAAACAACAACAAAAAACCCACAACAAAACAAAACACCTCTCTCACCCAAGTGTGAACATGTGATAACCCTGGGACACCCTGAATGCCTTTTATCTTTCAAAGGAAACTATATCAAGAACCTTTTTCTACATTCAAGAAATGGACATATACGTGACCTTAGCTTGTGTAATTCAACTCAACCAAAATGGGCAGTCTGCAGTCTCTTCCAACCACCAGCTCTAAATGAAGTCTAATCTTCATGTATTGATGCTCAACAACAATCTGACAAGTGGCTCAGAAGCCTGCCTATGCCTTCAAATTCTGTCCCAACTTAGTAATAATAAAAAAACCAAATCACCTCTACTTCTCTCCAGATAAGGCAGCTAAAATAATAGGGATAAATGGCAATTTTACTGCTTGTTGGACTTTTTCTTATAATAGGATAACATGATAAATAAAACATATTTCAGAAATATGTACATGTTACATCCCAAGAAAGGACCCTGGTTTTCTTGTAAAAAAAACAAGGTGAAATCATACTTGAGGAAAAAAAACCAAACCTACAAACAAAATGAGAAAAAACAAATAATAGAGTGATAAAATCACAAATGCACAACTAACTACAGCTCTGTACCTACACTGTTAGCCATGTTTAACATGGGTCCCTTCTCCCCCAAAACTGAATGAAAAACCAAGTTAGCATTTTTAAGCCAGTGGCCACATAGTAAAAATTGTACATTGCTGTCCATTCATTTAAAAAGCAAAGTCACTAGGACGGTATAAAAGTGATAATAGGTTTTAACTTTCTGATGAACATTTTTTCTCAAAACCTTGAGAATTGCCAGGGATTTAGCTCAGTGGCACCATGCCTGCCTTATAAGCACAAGGTCCTGAGTTCGATCCCTGGTACTAAAAAAAAAAAAAAAAGCTTGAAAATTATCTATACTCTCTCTGCATAACAAGATGCACAGGAACAAGATACAGAAGACAGCAAGGAGGTAGGGCTGTGTTGCACCATGGGAGCCAGCACTGTCGACTTTGTCATTGGCACTCTTCCCAGTGTGGTCAGTGGCACTATACTCACACCTACTTCCGTTTCCTTCTCCACTACTTTCATCACTGATATCAAAGAAGCCCAGGGCCGGGGATTTAGCTCAGTGGTTCCACCACCTGCCTCGCAAGTGCAAGGTCCCGAGTTTGATCCCCAGTACCAAAAAAAAAGTTCATGTCATTCCCATCATAAGCATTCTTCAGTTTACTAGTCATAACCTGAAGAACCATGATTTGACAAAGGATCAGTATATCTGATTTGTCAGTGTTGACCTGGAGCTCAGGGTTATTGCCCTGGTTGGCTAATCCATTTCCTGTTACTACAAATAGGTACCTGCTCTTGCCCTACCCATTCCAGCAGTCATCCTCATTGCCATTTCCTGCAGCCATCCTCTTGCTGTTGCAAACATTGCTAGGGAGCAAGAACCAGAACTTCTTGGCCTGGTTCAGTTTCTCCTTGACATCAGTAACCAGTTGGTCCAAGCTCATGCCAGCCACTGTGGTTGGGCAATGCATCCAGCTGGGAGAGGCTCAGGGGGCCATATCCCTGGAAAGCCTTCTGGGCGACTTGCACACTGTTCTCTTGCATATTCATAATCATATCGGAAATCTTCACGTCGATGGGATCCATGACAGACTCAATGCTGAAAGGACCCTCTAACCTCTCTGCCACCATCAGCATGGCAAGTATGAAATTGTTCCACTAGAAATCGAGATCCCCCTTGTTGGCTAAACAGCTTCTCATGATGTTGGAGCAGTAGTTATAACATAGCTTCACTGTCATGAGACCCCGGCAGTGGAAACAGTAGATCATCTTCAACAAGGCATGGGTACCCTGGGCTGTGGGGTTTACCACAGAGACTTTGCTCATTACATCTCTTGCAATGGTCAAGTTTTGAGCGAAAGTATGGGCTGCTAAGAAGATGCAAGTAACCTGCAGCTTCAGTTTCCAAGGGATGTCTCCGAAAGGCTTCAGCTGCTCGGTATACTTACACATTCCAGATACTCATCTGTAAAGTGGTACTGGGAGTTCACCAGGTGGAACATCCACTCCAGAAGGCAAGCCCAGAAGTCATTAAGCATTTCTTCCAGGTTCACATTTCCCACCACATAGGTGCCCTTCAACTCTACAAAGAGATCTTTAAACAGCTCTGAATTTTGCATGTATAAGAGGCCATGTTTTCATGAACATATCATTCAGGGATTTCTCTGCATTCTCTAATAGTTTTTTGAAGAATTCATCAAACTTAAGTAACAGGAAGTGAAGACGGCTTGCAAATGATTGCACTGTTCAGTGACCACACTTTTGAAATCATCATTTCTTTGCAGGCTATACTTCTCCTCCATCTCTTATAACCCTAGGGACAGATCTTCAAATGATCACAAGTTAAAGGAAGAGAGATTCATTTTGGCTCACAATTTGTAGAGGTTTCAGCATATAGTCAGTTGGCTCCAAGGCAGGGGTGGCATGGCAGAGGAAAAATAGTTCATGGGATGGCAGGCAGGAAGCAGAGGACCAAAATGTTCTACTGTATAAAAAAGTTAAGCCAGGCCGGGTGCCACATGCCTGAAATCTCAGCACTCTGGGAGGCTGAGGTAAAATATTTGCTGTTCAGAACATTAAGGCTATAAGCAAAGAGTACATAACTTGTCTACAAAAGAAAGATACATGTCGCCGTGGTGGTGCACACCAGTTAAGGGGAGGCTAAGGCAGAAGGATATCCTCGAGTTGAGGGCAGCCTGGGCTACATAATGAGTTCAGGGCTAGCCTGAACTATATAGTGAGATCCTGTCTCCAAAAAATAATTTTAAAATCCTATTGAAAGATACAGACAAAATGAACCAGAA